TAAGAGATATGACCTTCAATTTCAAACAAATATGTCTTTCTATGGTAACCTATCAAAAAAAGGAAAAAAAACATGTCTCTTTGGTAATGAAGAAATATGAAAAAACATGACTCTTGGCTGTCAGAACAATATATACACACAAGACCAAGACAAAATCATTAACTCTTCTCACAGCCTGTTCAGAAGATTTTCCATCCCGTTTCTCTGACAGCATGTAAGTGTTTTTTGGCTTAAATTTTTTCATTTTCAGATTCTAAAATCTAGATTAATAATCATGTTCATCACTAGAACTTAATTTTTATTTACCTGTAATTAAATCATATTAACATTCTTATAATTAATGTAAAAATGTTGAAAATGAATTTTTGCATATCTGCTAAAATGGATTTTTAATGCATGCACGTCAGATGAATAATATTGGTTCATCTTTTTGTAATTACAAATATACACTTATACAGGGAGTGGAACAATGAGGAGGCCAAGGAGAAGAACAAAAAATATGAGGCAGAGTATACTCAATATTTGATGGGAAAATACTTCTCCGACAAGGGTTTACATGGGAGTATGTAAAACCTTGCTTCATAATCTCTAGCATTTTCTTTGCCCATATAATCTTTTGCATTTAAAATTAAACCATTTAAGCTTAGTTTTGGATCGTGAAATGTAAGATTATTATGTTGTCATTACTTATCTAACTCTAAAGTATGTATAAGTAGCATGCGATAAATAATTTTTAATGATTCTTGTTATTTTTGTAGAGAGTATTTTTAAAAAGGAAACCGTTATTGACAACAAAATCACAAATTCTAGCAGGTAATTAATTGCGTGATTGAAACTTGTACAAACTTTATAATTTGATAGATATCAAGATTCTTCTCATGAAGGATGATCTAGTCTAGTGAACTATGTTTTGGTACTTTCTTTTCCAGTTTTGTTGGGATTGCACCACACATCAATCCTGTTGTTGGAAGTATTGTTCAAGTTGATCAGAGTGGAGAACATTCAGAGGCAGAAAGCTCAACCAACAATCCCCCAAACAAGAATAAAAAATCAAAGTAGGGGTTTTCTTGCACGGGTGTGCTTGTGAAATTTTCTTGTTCTTTTCTTGAATAAAAGGCACATATGTGGTGCCTATGGGATTAATTTCGATTAAGTATTGATGTTTTCTGTTTAAGGTTTGGAAAAACCCATGGCATGCTCCTTTTCTTAATAAAAGTAAGATATTATCATATTAGTATCTGCGTTTTAGTTTCCCTTGAAAAAAAATAGTCCCTAACATCTTAAAAATGGTCTTTTTAGATCACTAATTTTCAAAATCTTCAATTAGTTAGGTTCTTAGAAAATCGTTTAAGCCTTTAAGGGAATCTAATTGTTGAAAATGAAAATTTAATGATTACATAGCGTTTTTGATTAAAATACAAGGACTAAAGTGCAATAATTCAACCACTATCATTTCCAAACGGTACATTCAGTAGTAGGTGAAAAAGGGTTAAACTTACTTTCCTCGTCTTTCCCCCGAATTTTCTCGAGAGCCAAACAGACCACAGATGCGATTTTCTCGAATGAAACAGAAATTTTCTCTGCTGTCAGTTTTCTTCCAATTCCAATTGCTGGGAACTGCACAGGTTGGTACCTTCACTTTCCTTTTTCTCGTGCTGCCGTGGACAGTTCTTCTGAGATTTTAACTTTTTTTGAATGGTTCAAGCTTGGATTTTGAAGGTTTTTTTTTTTTTCTTTATATGTTCTTTTTTTATTGAAATGGGTTACAAATTCTTGCCTAATTATTAATGAAATAGCTTGGCATGGAAGTACTACACTCTGCTCATCGTCCTTAATGGTATAAGGTAAAAGGTTCTCTCTTGGTTATGAAGCTTGCTGACATAAGACATTTGGTGGTGTTATATTTTTTTGTGTGAAGCAATTGGACCTTGGCTTGTAATGCACCAAAATGTTGGGTTATTTTGTAGGCATAGATCCAACATTTATAATTCTGTGTATCAAAGTCAAACTATGGAATAGGCGATTGCCCATGAAAGCAAATACTGATGCACATGCATTTGTTGGGAATTATATCATATTTGGAAGCTGAGTCGAACTGGCACCTATATTAATTGTGATAATGGTGATTCTGGAACTTTCTCTAGTGTCTTGTAATGATCTTATTTATATATTCATGAAAGAGGCAGTTCTACGCCTTTTTTTTTTCCTTTTTTGATCCAGTAACAATGAAATTTTCTAGAGGAAGAACAATTTGATGGCAATAAGTTACTGAGAGGGAAGAGAGATGTAGTTTATGGACAATTGCTAACACAATCATTGCTAGGTTTATATTCCTAGTTGAATCCAGTCAAAGCATCTCTCAAAAAGTTTGGACAAATGCTGGGTATTTTAGTGGATAGCTTTTCCTTATACGTTTTCCTTTTTATGGTAGTCTTTTTATTATGAGCCAGCACTCAAACCACCACCTTTTTTTTCCTGTGTCATAACCAATCTCTTACCTCCATCTGATGCCACACATTGCTTCTTTTCTAGTACACCTGAAGGAATTGTTACCATCACATTATACAGTCACATAGACTTTGTTTTATCCAAAAGCATTTAATCAACCTTTCTTCCAGTCCATGTTTTAGAAAGTTCCCTTGTTCTCAAATAACTTAAGATCAACTTCTATATACCTGGAATGATTGAGACTTATGCGATTCAAGATCGCTTTTGAAAAAGGCCTTGCCTTAGAACAAAAGGGAGAGAGATCATAATCAATAATTTACTGCAAAGTGCCAACAGATTTAGATTAAATGCTGAAAGCATGTTATTACTAAAGCCTTACTATCAGAGACCTTAAAGCTTGGCAAAGACATGTTGACTTCCACTCCAACAGAAGAAACAAAAATAGAATACAGGACCCTGCCTTATGTCCTCTTCTAGGTTACTTGACAATTTCTGGACTCAGTTTTCAGAAAAATCATGTTTCAGTGAGATATCTTCTATGTCTCTTAAAGTAGAGTAAGGGCTGCTGAGTGGCATGTCAGAGAGCATCTGACGAAGTTCGGAGGCTTCTTCTTTGAGCTGAGCATTCTCTTGAAGGACCCGATCATGGCACTCTGAAACATGGTTCAGCTTATCTATAAGCTGGTGATTCTCATTCCGGAGCCAAACCACCTGCGACCACAACTCATCCAGGTGTCGCTGCTTGCGCATACGTGATCTGCGTGCAGATTCTCTGTTGGATATCATCCTCCTCTGCTTTCTCTCATTTATTAGACTCAGTTGTTGCTCTTCTGCTTCATCGGAAGTTGAGTTGTTGCTAACACTTGATGATTGGGGGTTGAATTCGGGAAATTGAGAGGGGATATAGAAATTACATAATGGATTTGAGAATCCATTTAACTGAAATGTTGGTGTATTGCTCTCAGTCATGCTAAAATGTCCTGGATATGGACTTGGGGGTGAAGCTACTAGATAATGGAGTCCTGAAACCTCACTAGGCTGCATGGCTGAGACAATCTTCAGGAACTAAATCTTGAAAGGGAAGGAAAGAAGAATAAGTTTTTGTTGGGAAGTGAAGGAGAAGCTTGAGGAGTGGAGGTTCTTATAGAGAGGGAAAAAGGGAGGTGGCCCCATTGTTGGAAATTGGAGCAACAGTTAGAAATTTCTTTTAATCTTAGATCCTGAATATCATGCAGATCATCTTTGCTTTTCTGTCGATTTAAGTTGATGAATGTATATAAGGCATAGGTATTTAATTATAAATTTCAGCACTTATGTTATGTCTTTACATGCATGATTGCACACGCACATACATGAACAGGGATTGCAAACTGTTGTGGATAATAATTATGAGATCAAATTATCTGCTTACATAATACTCACGCATAGAGAGTTTGTATTGTGGGGAGAATAATTATTTTAATGGGGAAAATGTTGTGGCCAGAGATGGTGAAGGAGAGAAATGGGAAGTGCAAGAAGTCAATCTTTAAATCTTAAAGTAGAGGTGTATTATTTCCAAGCAAGTTTGTGTAAAGTTAGGTTCTTATTAATTGCTCTTAAGCCAATAAGGCTTTCTGACGTAGGGAATTGGAGGGAGGTTGGCAAGAGATGTCCTTTCTATGTGTTTCTTATTAGGAAAGATTGTTTAAGGAGTTGATGACTCAACAGCCACTTGATTTGAGAAAATTCACTGACTTACTATATAAATAAACAGTAGTTCTCAACCCTACTCAGCCTCTCTCAGTTTACGTATTTCAGATTTCTACTTGGCACTATTCACTGTATCTGTCACTTTTGTGAGATTAGTGTTAGCCTGTTAGGCATATGTACTGGAAAAGAAAAAGTTGAGTTTTATAGCCACACAGGCTAGTAGTTTCTTGATTCCTACTTTTCTCTCTTTATATTATTTATGCTTATTGGTGTGACAAATGCTGACCTTGGCAGAAAATCCAAGTGCAAGTTGAGACGTGATGGATTATATTTTGATTCCTTGTGCAAGAGAAACATGATTTATGAAATTTAAACATGGTAATATAATTTTATTCTGTTTTTTTTAGCATTTCTCCTTTTCCAGTTCAACCCATTTTTTAAACACAAAAACATCATATTGCATTTGACAAATTTCCACTAGCTTATAACCTAGTTGAACTTAGACACAAGTTGTTCCTTAGATTTCCCTGCCTAAACCCACTTGATCGTTTGATACACAAAGCACATTCTGTTTGATTTTAATTTTGAACCACTTAACTTAGCAGAGTTTTTATGGTGGAAAAATCTTGTAAGAGGTAGGAATATAGTTTGAAATGCATTCTTCCACTTAGCCTCGTGGAGGCAAGTTCCTTCTCCCTGCACTTTCCTTTTGTCAGGCTGAGTGGATCAAAGAGTCAACAATATCATTAGACAGATTTAGACCCCAGTTTCTTTTCTTGTCTTAGCTTGTTCTGTTCTGCCCTTAATTTAATTTTCTCCTTTCATTTTAACTTTTTTTTCCTAGTTGATAAAATACTAGGAGAAGCATGTTTTTTTGTCCATTGTACTTGTATTGTACACTGTACAGGTAGATAGATTACAGCACCTTTGTCAATGTTTCCACCAATAGGACATCGTAAGCATGAAACTGACAATAGCCATTTGATGTTCGTGCTTCCTTTATTTGCCTGTTTGTCCCTATAGAGAGCAAAGACACAGATAAATACAATCAACATTTTGTATATCAGATATTTATACTGACTTTACCCATTTTTCATTATTTAAAAAAGAAAAAAAAAAAAAAGGGATCCTGTTTTTGTTACCCTTTTGTGTAATTATTGATGAAATTTTATAAAGTTCAGCTTATAATTTTTCATTGGATTTGCAGTAGCTGAGGATGGAGGCATTTGGACTGAGGTCTTGTAGACGAATTGTGAAAATTTTAGAGATTATATAATCAATCTTGAAATATTAGGCACTTCTCCAAGGACAAAGAGACGTGAAAGGTATGATTAAACTCATCTTCCCCTCACCAAGCTAACATATCTTATCTAACTCTGAGAATCATTTTCCGAATCTTTTGTGAAATTCCCATATCATCCTTGTGCCTAGCCACAATAATGTAAAATGACAAGGGGCATTTGGGAAAAGAAGGAATATTCTGAGGGAGGGACATAGCCCTGAAATAACGATTTGGGTCTTGCACGGAAGGGTACTTGATTTAACTGCTCCAACTAGTTATTACAATAATGATTTTCATTTTTTCTTCTTTTTTCTTTTGAAGATGTTAGGCAGATCATCAGCAATGATAAAAACGCAGGCGCATGATACCCTTTATGTGGTCCTTTTTGCTAGCAAGCGCGCGTGATCGCTTTGTGCACCATCAACCTTCCCTATTGCTCAGCTTGTCAACTCATGCAAAAAGGTTTTTCTCTATTTTCGACCGTCTGTTGTTAGGTTCAAATTTCACTGTCAATAATCTCTCGTAGATAGGTGATCTGTTAGTACCATTGCAAATCTCTACGGATCTAACCTTGGACCAGTGTAACCTTTTCCTCCCTAAACTTTCTTTTGTATCAAAGAGAAAAAAGGTTCTTTCTCTCTACTTTTGGAGGTTTTTTATTTTTTTCTCTCATGTTTTTACAGTTACACACATCGAATGGGGATTTGAGAATTTGGAAGAGTGTCAGTTGGGACAACGTGTGCCCCCCATTAGGGTAACCTAAGACAAATTTTTGTGGAAGGGGTCACAAATGAAATTATGAGTTGGGTTCAAGTCTTGTTTTTCTTTTTTGTCCTGAAGGCCAAATTATATATATGTGACATGTGAAATGCATTACATACCTATTTGGGTAAAATTTTCAGAAACCCTTTCAACAATTGGTCAAAAATCAAAAAAACATTTTTCCCCACCAACTTTCATTTGCTACCATAGAGGGTTGGTCCAATTATACATCAGTCCTATTGATAGAAATTGAAGTCTTGAGTGAAAAACATGCAAAATAACGACAGGGTAGAAAAGATTTCATTTTTTTTAGTATTTAATCCAGTTAGGCTTGATCTGATACAAAATCAATTTTCCACATTCAATTGTTTATTTATTCATAAATTTTGTAGTGGAAGGTGTCGTCTGGTTTTATTTAATATATTCGTCTTAGAATTTAATATTAGAAGTTCTTGATAGCCATATATTCTTGTAAGATTATGGGACCAAAGGTTATGATTATTCAATACCACTTCTTCTTTCCACCAAGCAATTTCCATTGTCAACCGGTAAAAATTCAAGATTCAGAGTTAGACGTATCAAATTTAAACATTGAGAAAAAAAATCTAAAAAAAAGAAGAGAATTATTCTCCCTTGTATTATCTATTGTGCCAAAAAGAAGACCACTTCTTTTGTCAACTAAGTAATTTTTATTGTTAACTAATAAGAACTTTGAGATTCAAAGTTAGAAATCTCAAATTTAAACATTAAGATGTGTAAAGAGAAATTTAAAAAAAGAAAAGAGTTATTATTATCCATTGTAATTTATATAAAAAAGAATGTCACTTCTTCCACCAAGCAAATTCACTAATTATGTTTAATTAGGTGATTATTTCTCTAGGATTTAAGGTGATTGGTTGTTAGAGGATAAGCCCTTTCATCGGCCAACACCTCCTTCACAATCATTCCTTTTCTCTTCCACCATTGCTCTTGTGTGTGTGTGTGAATGGCAACAATATTTTCTTAATTTCAAGACTAATTTAGCTGACTACACCATGATTAATTTAGGAATAAATCCATTATTTGATTGGTGGGTGGTGGGATTTTGAGTCATGATTGAGTTAAAACCAATTGCGCTTACGTACTTGTGTTAAGGTCTTGATCCACTAATAATGTGGAGTAAAGGTGTTTTAGGTTATTTTAAGGAAATGGGGGGCATTGCTTTTGGTTTTCTTTTCATTTGAGGGGTTAAAAAAAAAGGAAGTGAAAAGCATACCGTCATCATCGGTTCTTGTCATTTTCATGGCTATTATTATTGTTGTTGTTGCTACCGCTACTCTTGCTCCTGTCACTAGCGCAACCGTCTTAGATTTTCCAAAGTACCACTCATGGTATAAAGTTGCTTAGCTCTGTGTCACTCTTAAAAATTGAATCCCCAATCAGTTGATGACACGATAAGGGTTATATTCCATAATCAAATCATGTGTCATCTTCCAAAATCATGAAGGCAATCATGTAAAATTCCCCATGTTATGATTGAAGGTTAATGGTGTGATGTGCACCCTCTAGGACAATTAAAGACATTGGAGAGGGTTTAAATGACAAGCAATGGGTAACTTTTAGAGAAATTCTATTGTATCATGTGGTATTTTTAATCAATAAAAAATTGACATTTTTAAAAATTTTTAAAAACTCAGCATAACACCTTAATACATCTCAAGGAGTTAGCTTTTTATTGACTTGGAAACTCCTAACATGATCAAGCATACCACATAGGTAAACTTTAACAACTAACATAAAATGGAACTTAAATATGGGATTTTAGTTGTGGAAAACTTAATTCAGCTCTACCAGCAAGCACCTCCTCCTAGGAGCAAATTGTCATGCTTTGATTTCATCTTTTGTGGGAAGCAAATTAAGCAACTTCAGAGTTTTCACACTCATTTGGGCTCTAGGTGAAGAAACAACTCCTAGACGTAGAAAGTGCCATGGTTTTGGGAAAATGGCAAAATGGGGTGGCTAGCTAGGCTAGCAAAGACAAGATGTGGGGAGGCAGAAGCAGTGGCAATGGTCTTGGTCATGACCACTGCGACATTAATTGATATCATTTTCAGAACTAAAATTATTTTCCCTTTAGTAATAATTCTGAGTCCCCACAACTGAGAAAAAATCTCCCCTGAATCAGATAATAGAGATTGAACCAAAACCACCCCATAAATCAAGGCTTCTTTTTGATTGCCTGTGGTGGACACTATAGGACTTTCTCCATTACTGAAAATGACTACTTTGTTTCTTTCTCCGCACAATTTTTTGCTTTTTGTTTGTGTTTTGCTACATTTCATAGAAGCAACTTAAAAGAAAGTGGACCATATTAACCATAAATACTTTGACTGAGACATACTAATCCAAACACCCATCTATCTGCACCAAATTTCAGAAGGTGTCCTCTCTTTTTTCAATAATGATGGATTAATAGTTCTATCATCAGCCCAAAAGAAAGAAGTTTTGCAAAAGAAGGGGAACACAGTTACAAATTCGCATAATTTAAAGAAAATCTTGATTAGGAGATTGTAACTTTCTTAAAGATAAGATGGCTTTACAGCAGCTCCTTTAAAGAAAGCAGAATAGCCCCCTGGTCAAGCTGCATGTCACTGAAAATGTACATGGCTCAATCCTAATTCACAAAAGCAAGAGCATTTTAATCCAGACAGATAGTCAAAAGGTAGTAAACATGTAAAAGATGAAAGTGGCTTTATACCATGATCTGTTGGATAAATGTTAGCCTCAGCAATTTGTATTGTGGATAAGTTTTGAGTTCTGATGTCGAAGGAAATTAATATTCATACAAGAAAAAAGAATGGTGAAATAAAAATTTTTTGAGATTCCAGGATGTTATAAGGCTAATAACAGACATTTAGTATGGAAAAGTAGGTCATGTTTGGTACATTGATCTTATAATTAGTGCCTGATCCTAGTATTTGACATTCTATACTTATTTTTATATACATATAAAGAGAATTAACATTGGTACTGTCAATCAATTCTGCTCGCAATCCTCATAATCTAACATAAGAGATAATTCGAAACTGTCCCTAGCTAACAGGCAAATCTTTCAGTGAGCCATTGTTGCCCCCATTGTCAGTAGTAGCTTCCAAGATCCTCCTCCTGTTGCTCAGATACCCTTCAATTTCATCATCAGTAGGCAACTCAAACCGATTAACTGGGCATCTAGTTCTCATCTTCAGACATGGCACATTGGCACAATGCATTCCCCATGATAGTAGTGCCATGTAGGGCAGCATCTTCACCTTCTCTCGCTCTGCAGTCTCCTCACCGCGCAAACAGCACAAACTGCTTCAATCCCACCTCTCATTTCAACCCTCGGAAACCCTTCCGCCACAAATTTCGCAGATGGAAGAATTCCCCCGCTGTGGAATCTCAATACCATAATAGTCTTCTTCACTTTGCCATTCCAACTCACGTGCTTCGAAGGTGTTGGAAGAGGAAAGTCGAAAGAGAATAAAATATTGCTTCGAGGGAGTCTATTGGCATGCAGACATCGTATCTGCATTGTTTGGTAGTTCTTCCAACCTCCGGAAATTGATTTCCCCCCACTGCGTAACATCTTCATCTTCGCCATCAATAAAAATATTGTTCCAGGGTGTCTCTGGCCATGCTAACGTTGTAC